TTACCACAGAAGGTGTAGACCTTCCCTACATTGGTGAAAGATCCTCGACCACCTGTTCTTCCTCTTCCTCTTGAGCTTCCTCCTCTAACATTAAAAGGAGATCTCCAATTCCCCCAAGATTGTGTGTTGAGGCTAAAGATTCTTGAGTCTGCAAGATTGGGTGTGTTTTGCTGTCTTTCTTGCTGCAATACTAAAGAAAAAACTTTGTTAATCACAGGCAAAGGATCCATAATAAGAATTTGACTCTTGACAGTGTTGTATTGATCATTAAGACCCTTGAGGAAGCATATGACATATTCAGTGTCCTTGTAGTCTTTTACTTTGGTGGAAAGGTCACATGAGCATCTAACATCACAGGTACAAGTTGGTGTTGGCCTTAATGACTCTAATTCTTCCTATAGGATCTTTAGCTCAGTAAAATAGCCTGACATAGTGCAGTCTGCTTGCTTGATAGAATGAATTTCTTGCAGTAAGTCTGAAAACCTAAAGTAATCCCCTTTTGAAAATCTTTCCTTCAAATCCTCCCAAAGCCTTTAAGCATTGTTGATGTAGATAACACTTTGTGCTATTTGTTCAGTTTTTTTATCCAAGAAAGAATCATGGTATTGCATCTTACCCAAGCATCACGGAGTTGATCGAATTTTTGTGGTTCTTGAATGAACCCGTCAACAAATTTGAATTGTTTTTTGACAGCAGAGCCCTCATCATGCTTCTGCTCCAAGAATGGTAATTTGACTCATCAAGAATTGGGCTAGCAAAAATAGTGTCTGGGTTTTCTCCCAGGTGGAGGTAATAGGGGCTTGCAGGGTTTTGGGAATCTTCATCTTTTCCTTTGTTGGTGATGGTTTCTTTTTCAGCCATAGTTGTGGACAGCGGGATCCGCTGAAGCAGTGATTGAGCTCTCACTGAGAGGCTCATGATACCATAAAGCAGTAAAAGAAAAGAAAATTTCTTATTGATTAAATGTTTGTTAGCTAGGCTGGATATATATATATATATATATATA